GTCTAAGCCCTTGTATATCTCCTTCACCTAGCAACTTAATGAGAACCTGTTTCAAAATAAAAAAATAAAGAAAGGGGATGTGACTCAGTGGTCAAGTGCTCCTGAGTTCACTCCCCAGCACCAGGGGGAAAAAAAAGAAGAAGAAGAAGAAGAAAAGAAAAAATATATATACTCAGTAAGCTCTCAGTCCCCATTCTCTCTCCCCCAGCTCCTGGCAACCACTAATGTACTTCCTGTCTCTCTGGATTTGCCTGTTTTGGATAGATATCCATAAAACTGTACAATAAGTGGCATTTAGTGTCTGACTTCTTTCACTTTGCTAATGTTTCCAAGGTAATTCCTTTCTGTGTCTGAATAATATGCCATTGTATATGTTTTTCATTATGTATGTAATATACTTCTATATATTTACAGTTTACCCATTCATCTGTTGATGGACATTTGAGTTGTTTCTGCTTTTTGGAGATAGCAATTTTGCTGTGAGCATTTGTGGATGGGTTTTGTGTGGAGAAACATTTTCATTCCTCATGGGTAAACACCTAGGAATGGGATTGTTGGGTCTCATGATAACTCCATGTTTATTTTGGAGGAATTAACAAACTTTAAAGTAGACAGTATTTTGTATTCTCATCATCTGTCTATGAGGGTTCCTGTTTATTTCAGTTTTTTCACATTCTTGTTAATACTTGCAAGTTTTGTTTTTTAAAAATGTGTAGCCCGTACAGTTGGCATAAGTGGTATCTTTCATGTACTTTTCAGCTGTTTATGTCTTCTCTGGAGAAATATCTGTTCAAATTGTTTGCCCCAGCCTGCTAGACTACTAGAGGGTATTGTGTGTGGGGGGGGGGATGGGGTACTGGGAATTGATTGCATCTTGTCTTTGTACTAGGCAAGTACTCCACAACTGAGCTATACCCCTGGTCCAGACAATAGAAAATTTAAATTTCCATTTGTGACTGACATTTTATTTCTATATGCTCTAAGAGATTTTGATACTGGTAAAAAGAAGACTCTAATGAATGCTTCAGTCTTAACCTTCATTTTTATGTAATTCACATGTCACTAAAATTAACTTGCTTTTTAAGGTTAGTCTCTCTCAGGCTGTAATAAGAATTTCATTACAAAGAAATTATGCAGGCATCTGATTGCCCTGGGTTGGCAAGGGTTAGCTAGGATGGGGTCTTAATATTAAGATGGACCCTACCTTGAAAGTATGTTGATTATTTTATTGAGCCAAACAGTAGCAAAACTTAACTCTTCCTTATGTGATCATCATCATGCTTCCAGGTGAGCTTTTTGAAAGTTAGACATCCCCTCCATTGGACATTGAATCCAGGGGTGCTTTACCACTGAACTACATCCCTAGCCCTTTTTTAAATTTTGAGATAGGGTCTCACTAAGTTGCTGAGGATCCAGCTAAATTGCTCAGGCTGGCCTGAACTTGTGAACCTACTGCCTCAGCCTGAGTAGCTGGGATTACAGGTGTGTGCCACTGTGCTGGCAAAAGTTAATGTTTTAAAAATAAGCCATTTACATCTTGTTGAGCTTTCAAAATGTGATAATGTAGATTTGTTGCTTTGAAATTTTACTATGAAACATTGGGCTTATTTTTCTAGGACTCGAATGCAGAAATAGTTTGGTCAAATATATTTGTTTCCCAGATTAGAATGATTATACTAAATCTGTTTGTGGATTATACATCCTGATGTCTTCCAGTTCAGTTTCCAGTCATTTCAGGTGTCACTACCTGCCTCCTTGTATATGTCTTTGTGTCCTCAGGGAACAGTTCACAACACTCCCAAACTGCACCAAAATGTGAAGAACAGCCTGATCAGAGTAGAGCGTAGTAAGTCATTTAAGAATACTGTTGAATGTAGGTGTTTTTTTCTTCTATATATGTAGAACCCCCAAAGAAGATAGGAAGCATTTTCATATTTTCCTCAAAAAATGGTTCAACAAGATTTTATATAAATCTAAAACTGTGTATAAAAGATCTTTATGCATTTTATGATCCCTTTTTCCTTAAACGGAGGCTGTATTTTGTTCTTGCATAAGTAAGTAGGTGGGGGAAGGTAAAATATTTTTTTGTAAAAGTAAAGTCACATGGAAGTAGAAATATCTCTATTTCAAATTGCAGCAGTTACTAAACCCTCAAATAATTGCAAATTCAGTCTAATACAGGCTTTCTTGAGTAGAGGCTAAGGTGAACAGGTGGAAAAGAAACAAGTAAAATTGCCATGATTTTTATAGAAATGATTTATTCAGAAGAAACAAATTTGGAGATAATCAGCATATAATCACTTAAATCTTTTTTTTTTCTGTTTTGTTTTAGCACTACTATTCAGAGGCAAGGTGGTAATTTAAGTGTATGAGTCAGTAATGTGAAATTAATTTACATTTTTGTACAGCGACTCTCTAGATTTGAATTTGCACCAGTGACACTTTAACCCACTAAACACTAATTCTTCCTCTCCTGAGGCCCTGGGAAACCAACTATTATGTTGTTTTTATGATTTTTGACTACAAGTGAAAACTATGTAATATTTTTCTTTGGTGACTGGCTTATTATTTTACTTATCCCAATATCTTTTGAGGTTCATCTATGTTGTAGCATGTGTCAGAAGTTCCTTATTATTTAAAGGCAGCATAATATTCTGTTGTGAGTGTTGTTTATCTATTCATCCATGAATGGCCATTTAAGTTGCTTTTATGTATAACTGTAATGAATGTGGGAATGCAGCTGTCTCTTGGGGGATCTGCTTTGAATTTTTTTGTATATATACCTTTAGGTGGGATTAGAGGATCCTAGGGTAATCTTTTGTCTTTTCAATTGAACATTTGCAAGCTTTTTCCAAGAATAGGAGTTTCCAGGTGTGTAAATTGGATTCCCACTGAGGGTCTCTCATCCCTTCCTGTTTTCTACCCTCTCCCAGGTAGAATAAATACTCGTCTGCAAAACTCTCCCTGATGAATTTTATTATTGGTTATCAGGACTTCCCTTCTGTTGCCCAGAAAATGTCCCATGTCTTGCGATATCTCAAAATAAACACCAGATTTGTTTGGCAAGGTTGCATCTCTGGGTGCATATCCCTATATTCCTAAACATCTGGAGTAAAACTGTGGTTTCCAATAACCTCACCTCTGTCTAGGCCTAAGAAAGCATGGAGGCTGCACAGAAAGGTCCAGAGCAAACAGGAGGAGGGGCTGGCAAGTTTGTCCTCTTCCACTAGTAATCAGGATGGGGCACAAATGTATCCCCATGTTTTGGCACCATGTTGATGAGTTTGGCAAACTGGTTGATGACATGGTAAGATGTGTGCTTGTCTAGTCAAGCACACATAAGTACTATGTGTGTTCACAAAGTGACCCTTGTTGTTTGATGAACTCTGATATTTCATATTCTGTTCTCCTGTTTTCAAGTTTTTGCTTGATTTTTAGCATGGGGTGCTATGATATTCAAGGTTCTCCAAAGAGACTGTACAAATACATTCGAAAAAAGGATTTATTAGGAGAATTGGCTCATCTGATTATGCAGGCTGAGAAGTCCCTTGACAGTCGCAGGAGACCCTGGAATGTTGGTAGTGTGGCTCAGTCCCAAGTCTGAAGACCCATAACCAGGGAGATCAGTGGTATAATTCTCGTCCAAGGCTAAAGGTCCAAGAACCCAGGAGCTTCTGGAGTAGGTTCTGGAGTCCCAAGACCAGAGAGCCTGGAGTTTTAATGTCCCAGCTGTGTCTCACGAGGAATGTCTACTACAGAAGAGAGAGAAGTCCTTTTCACTACTTGTTTTCTTCTCTTTGGGCCCCAGGGGATTGGATGGTGCTCACTCACTTTGAGGGCAGATATTGTCCACTGTTACTGACTCTCATGCCAATGTCCCCTGGAAACACTCTCACAGACACACCCATAAGTCATGCTCTACCACTTCTCTAGGCATTCCTTAATCCAGTCAAGTCGATGCCTAAAATTAAGTGCCACAGGTTCCGTCCATTAAATTGCTGCCCTAGCAATTTGGCAGGTAGTGTAAAGAGCTTGCTCTCTGGAGCATACCTGCTGGGGCTGGACTTTACTTCTCCACAGGCATCTGACCTTGAGCCACTTAAGCAAGATGTGCCTTAGTTTTCTGTGCCCTGAAATGAGATCATACACTGCCCACCTCATACAGCTATTAGGAAGAGTGAGTACTAGGGGCAGTGGTAATCCCAGCAGCTGGGGAGGCTAAAGCAGGAGGATTGCAAGTTCGAGGCTAACCTCAGCAACTTATTGAGGCCCTGTCTCAAAATAAAAATTAAAAAGCACTGGAATTATAGCTCAGTGGTAAAGCAACCTCAGGTCCATTTTCCAGTACAAAAAAAGTAAGTGAGCAAATAGGTAAATATGTGTTACTTAGAAGAGCAGCTGGCATAAAGTGATTCTTCCTGAATACTGGCCAGTTGTTAAACTAGTAACTCAGCACTAGTATTTCTTTTCCTTTCTATTTATTATTATCATGTTGGATTCCAGGTTGCTTCTTCCCTGCTTTGTTGACTTCCCCCACTTATTGAAACATTCTATCCCCCCAGGGAGAGAGTGGCCTCCTAGTGAACACCATTGGATCCCCTGTTCTTCCTTCTCTTAGCCAGCCCCTGGGATTCAGACTTTGATTTGTGAACAATGAATTGACTTCCCTAGTTTCTCCCAGAGGACTTGTGGTATGGGCTGCGGGAGAAGCTATGCCAGCCTGCGAAGTGGTGTTCTGTTCTGGAGTTGGAATGGAGCTAAGGATCCGAGTAGTCTTTCCTCCATTCCAGGTTGGTGGTCGGAAAGCAAATCTCTAAACAGGCAGGTTCCTTTTCAGCTGCAGACATGGGGTAATGCAGCCAGAGCCGAAGGAACAGTTCCCCCGACAGCTGCTTTTGGCTGGGAAGGGGCTGCTCTTTCCTCCTTTTCCAGCAGGTATGTCTTATGAAGCCTAAGTTGTTAGGTCGTGGTGCTTCATTTTGTGCTTGTTTTCCTTGCAGGCTGTTTTAGTGAATAATATCACCACAGGTGAGAGGCTCATCAGAGACCTGCAAGGTAAGCTCCACTCCCCTCCTGTGCCAGCATGGGCTCCTAAAAACTCACCTTTCCTCAGGGTGTCAGGTGGCTCTCCTAATGAGAACCTCATGGTGGGTTGTGGTATGAATAATTGAGCAGTCTTTATTCTTTTTGCCTATCTATATTTCCTTAACAGGTTTTTCCTTTTTAAAATATTACTGAATGTATTACAAACTACTGAACAGAAGAATTCAGACTCTGATTTATAAATATGTTAAATATTGGGCTGGGAAATAGTCAGTGATAGAGCACTTGCTTAGCATGAGCAAGGCCCTGGTTTGTATCCCTAGAAAAGAAATGATTCAGGTCAAGCATCCCTAATATGAAAACGTGGACACCAAAAAATTCCCCCAAATCTGAAGCTTTTTGAGTGCCATTATGGTGCTACAAATAGAAAATTCCACACCTGACCTCAAGCAATGGGTCACAAAGTGCACAAAATTATTAAATATGTTCTATAAAATTACCCTCAGACAATGCATATAAACAGAGTTGTACATGAACCATACATGATTTCATGTTTAGACTTAGGTCTCATCCCCAAGATATTTCACAGTATATTTGGAAATATTCCAAAATCTGAAAAAAAAAATCTGAAACCCAAAACATTGCTTGTTCTAACCATTTCTGATAAGGAATCCTCAACCTGTATATGTGAGATGTGTATGATGTGTGTGTGTGTGTGTGCGCGTGCGTGTGCATGCGCGTGCATGTGTATGTATACAGATATACACACACATATATATATAAATATCACACACACATATATACATGTGTTATATACATATACATATGTATATGGTTGGTTTTACATACATGGGATATATATATACACGTATACACACAATGCATATATATACTTATTCTATTCATGTATATGTATATGCATGACTTATTTAATAAGATTACCCTGAATTTAGATTGCCTTCATGAAGTTTATAAAAATACAGGCTTATACCACTGTGCCCAGAGGCCAGTGGTGTAAGCCTGTATTCTCAGTGACTTGGGAACCTGAGGTAGGAGGATCCCAGTTTGAGGCCAGCCTGGGCAACTTAGCAAGATCTTGTTTCAAAATAAAAAAGGGCTGGAGATGTAACTTCATGATAAAGCACCCTTGGATTCAATCCTTAGTACCATGAAAAAAGAAGAAAAAAAATGTCCACCCCAATTTAATTCACTTTTTTGCTGCTGGTTTATTTAGCAGCTCAGGATTAGTTCATTGTCCTGCATATGGTTCAGTTATAAGAATCTCTTCCTTTAAGTTAGGTTTAATGAAACAATTTTTATATAATAAAGTTTATTCTTTGTATAGTTTCATACAGTTAATAAGTGCTTAGTCTCACAGACCACTGCTGCTGACAGCACATAGCACCAGTCTGTCTGGGCTGACCCCTTTGGCCTCCCAACCCAACCTCCTTCCAAAACCCCTCTATCATCTGTTCCAGATCAGGCTGTTCTGTAAGTATATACTTTTGAGATTGGTCCATGTTGTGGGTATCAGTAGTTCCTGGAATCCTTCAGTTTTATTTAATTTTATTTACCCACAGAACATTCGGTGGCTCCTTTGTAACTGTTTTTCCTTTCACCCTGACTGGGCCGTCTGTTGGCTACTGCTCTTCTCTACAGAGTTTTTCTGAGCCAAGTGATCAGATCAGACAGAGCTCTTTCTGAGCCGAGTGATCGGATCAGTGGGATGGGGCCAATGAATTTCCTCAAAGAAAGCTGCTATTTCTCTGGTTAGAGGGTTGGGTGGTTAAATAACCACAGGACCTTGGAGAATAGCTTGGCTGTGAATATGTGACAAGAGAAGGATATTGGCGAGTAGCCAGGGGCAGGGTGTCCAGGGGTAGCTGCTTATCACAACAAACATGGAGACCAGTGTTTTACAAATTGAAGGATACTCTTCCAGGGGTGTGGGACAGTGGTGTGTGTGACCTTTTGGAAAACTCTGGACTTCTGCAGTCTTAAGAAAAAAACAGGCAAATAGAGGCTACCAACACATTTTAAGAATTGGAGGTAAAAAAGGAAATTTAACAGACATTTGAAAAAGAACCAAGATGCAAGTTCCTGTGGGACTGATGATCTTCTGAGGCTGTCTATGACTGGGTGTGGTGACCTCAGGGGAAGGGCTGTTCTCCAGCTTTCTCTGTCCCTCCTTATGCCCTTTGTGTTACTGCCCTTGTGTTCTGACATGTGTGGTTGCTTTGTGTTTTGGCTGAGCAGCATGACAGCCATGCCAGTGATCTGTGTTCTCCTTTTGGCTTAGACCAATTAAAGGCCCTGCAGAGGAATTATGGCAAGCTGCAGCAGGATGTGCTCCAATTTCAGAGGAACCAGACCAACCTAGAGCGGAAGTTCTCCTATGACCTGTAAGTATTTTAGGATCAAGTATCCACTCCCTGGAAGGCCACACCTAGGGTTTTAAGGCAAAGGACAGTCCAGCATGCTCATTCTTCCTGTTATGGAGTTTTTATGTTCTAGGGCTCTATGAAAAAGGCAGAGTCCCTTTTGGGCTTCATGTTCTTTAAAAATTATCGTGCGTTTTATTTTTTAAGTGTTAGCAGTGCTTCAGAAGCTATGGAGTAAGCACTGGGTAGAGTGGTGCATGCCTGTATTCCCAGCAACTCATGAAGCTGAGGCAGGAGAATTGGCAAGTTAAAGGCCAGCCTCTGCAATTTAGTGAGACCTCATCTCAAAATGAAAAACATAAAGGACTGAGAATGTAGCTCTAGAGTGTTTCTGGGTTCAATTTCCCATATTCCCCCTCCCCCCAAAACCCAAACCATGGGGTTTCAGCCAGCAAGGATTCATAAAATAAAATAAATAAGAAAGGTGGATTTATACGCACACAAGAGACATAGCAATTCTCAGCAGGAAATGAATTGCTTAAAACCATAAACCATAAAACAATGTAACCTAAGGTTCTGTAAAGTGCAGGTGTACTGGTTAAGAAACTACTTTAAAAAATGTATTTCAAGAGTTCTCAGATGTGAGCTAAATCAAACTCATAAACTTAAGATATTCCAGCACAATACCATTGTGGATGCATTGTTTTCTTGAGGCTTTTCAGTGTTTTTCCAAATTTTTGCAGCAAGAATGGAGTACTTACATGATGAAGGTAATAAACTTAAAAAGTGGGCTAAACCCATTGGGAAGAGTAAAAACCAATTTACAAGGTAGAGAATAAAATTGTTATTCATTTTCCAACTTTTTTTTCCTCATAAAAGCAATATAACAGAAGTATAGGAATTCAAAGAGAACCTAACTTCTTATGACTGCTCTCTCCCCTTTGACTGACTTCTCAGAAGTCCATGCCCAAGTCAGATGATTTAAAAAAAAAAATAATAATGATAGCCATAAAATTTTAACATTTGTACTTGTTTGCATATATGAAATTTTAACATTTGTACTTGTTTTTTTAAGAGAGAGAGAATTTTTTAATATTTATTTATTTATTTTAGTTTTCGGCGGACACAACATCTTTGTATGTGGTGCTGAGGATCGAACCCGGGCCGCACGCATGCCAGGCAAACGCGATACCGCTTGAGCCACATCCCCAGCCCTGTACTTGTTTTATATATAAAATCCACATAGTGTTTCTTCATTTAAAAATTATTTTTTATTTTTTCCTCATACAAGACATTTACCTGTAGCATTAGTTTGTCACTAAGTGTAAATTTCCAGATGGATTTCTGAAAGGATTTTGCAACTGTCAGTCACTAACAGTGTAGGAAGAATAAATTGCCTCACACTCATTGTCCTCCTGGGGATGCCCATGTTCTTCAGCATTGTCCATGCACCTTCATTTTTACCTCATCACTTTAAAACTGAATAACCACTAAAAACGTGAAGCTCCCAAAACAATCACATGCTACTTAACAATGTAATAAGTTCTGAAGGATGCAGTTAGGTGATTCATCCTACGAAAATTAGAGTGTACTTCACAAACTAAGATGGTTCTGATGTCAGTAGGCCATATAATGTTATGGGACCACTATTGTGTATGCAATTTCTTGTTGACCAAAACGTGTGGCACATGACCTACCTAGCTGTGTAGAGGACATGAGCAAATAGTCAAAGGGGAGCAGAATTACAAAGTATACATGTGGAACCTTATTCAGCTGTGTCAGTGGTTCTGTCTCTCCCCACTTCCCTCCCGCTTTGGCAGTACCGAAGATCGAACCCAGGGTCTTTGCATACTAGGTATGGACTCTACCACTTAGCTACATCCACAACACTAGTGGTTCCCAAGTGGGGGACATTCTTGACTACAAAGTTCTCTCTGAGGACATTTTTGTCACAACTTGGGAGTATACTCTTGTCATCTAGTGGGTGGACACCAGAGATGCTGTCAAACATCCTATATAGCTTCCCAAAGTGAAGTTTTAATTTGGCCCAAAATGTCTATAGTGCCAAGGTTGAGAAACCATGAGTTAGCCTGATAATCAAAGAATTGCATTTAATAAAAATGAAGTATCCCAGTCTTATTATTATTCATCCTTAAAAGGCACCTTAATGTAGGGAGCAGTGGCATGCACCTATGTAATCTCAGCAACATGTGAGGCTGAGAGGCAGGAGGATCATGAGTTCAAAGCCAGCTTCAGCAACTTATCGAATCCCTAAGCAACTTAATGTAAGACCCTGTCTCTAAATGAAAAATAGAAATGGTTGGGGATATGGTTCGGTGGTTAGGTGCAATCCCTGGTCTGCCGCCCCACCCCCACCCTCAAAAAGACAATGCCGATGGGTGGTGGAGTGGTGCACTCCTGTTCTCCCAAAGATTCAGGAGGATGAAGCAGGAACATGGCAAGTTCAAGGCCATCCTGGGCAACTTAGTGAAACTCTGCCTCAAATTAAGAGTTCTAAAAAGACTGGGGATATAGCTTAATGGTAGAGTACCCCTGGGTCCCTAGGACCATAGAAAACAAAACAACCTCCCCTCCAAAAGAAACATATTAATGCTGATATCTCCCTTCTGTTGATTGAAATGTGCAAAGCCACTAATGGACTCACTTGATAAATATTAACCCAGAAGATTTGGACCTAGTTGGAACTCTGTTCCCCTGCAGGCAGTGGTGGTCTCTGCTAAGCTAGATTGATTTATGTCCATGAATGTACTCTTTCTTTTCTGATAGAGGTTGGTAGCTTAGACTGAAAGCTTTTTCTGGCTAATGTGTCTGTTTCATCCAAGGCCCTGTGCCAGATATGGGAAGCTGTCTGAGGAAGCTATCATGGAATGTTTAGAGGCTTAGAAAGAGCTAGTCATCTTTAATTCTCTTTAATTTTTTTGACAATTGGAGAAAAGATGTGGACATCTTGTTAAAAAGTTTACCAATGGATATATATATATATATACACACACAAAATTGTGCTCAATTTGTAGGATTCATAGGTTCCTGAAGCACACCCTCCTTTAAGTCATATTGTCTGGTCTAATCCTTGTATAGAAGGCAGTGAGAACCCAAAAGCTGGTGGATAGGCCAGGCTTCTTGATGGCACAGGGAGTTCTTTGTGGGAGTCAACTCACATCTTCACTTCTTACTCCTTCACTTGTGACAGACATCACTAAGTGATCATTGCACTCATCCAAACATAGCCTTGCAACCTTTCTCCCCAGAGCACTTTGAGTCAGAATGAGGTGCACCACTTGCCATCTTATGGCCACACTCTGAAGAAACAGATTGCAAATGCTGGTATTAAAATGTTTTAGTGATCCTGAGTCATGGTCAGTGTCTGGATGATGGGATTATCTCAATTAATGTCAGTACATTTACCTCATTTATGAGCCACCTGAGGCTTTCAGGAACTAACACAGTCACAGTCAACATGACCTGTGTTTCAGGATTTAGCTTTGCACTGAGTTGCTGTGCTTAGTGCTGTCAAGCTGGAATGTGGAAAATGGAACTTTATTTGAACAGCAGAGATAGAGGCCTTTTGTTCTTACTTTGGCAGGGTTGGGAGCAGGTGGAGCCAGTGTTTCCCTTTGTTAGGTGCAGAAGTTTGGGGATAGCAGTGACCTGCTTGCTCAGCTCCTCAGGGTACAGATTTCTCTTTTTGTTCTCTTTTGTGCACAAGTCTACCACCAATAGCTTATGTGTTTCTGAGAAGTTTATTTCAGTGAATTTTTCATTTGATCTGTGAGGTGTCTGAGGTCTACAACTTTGTTTCATTATTTCTCCAGCACCTGATCCCTTTCTGTGTTAATAATGTTGTGACCCAGTGATCCTTTGAACTAAAAGGTTTCCTCCAAGTTAGGACCTGAGTGTAGTACTTACATTTAGCTCTTAAATGCCTGAGACTCAGAAAAGGTGATGAGTGGTAGAGAGTGCTGTGCAATCAGGAAACCTTGAGTCTGGCGTCTGGCTTCTGGCTTCTGGCTTCAGTCTGAGTGGTTTGGTCCACTGCAGGCAGTCGAGTCACCTCTTAGCTTCCTCATTAGCAAAGCAAGTGGGGATTCTCTCAACTGCTCTGACACTTGCTGAAACACTCCAGGCAGAAGACTGAATCCTCCAACTCTATCCCATTAGCATTGCTTTGACAATACTGGTATCCTTCAATCCATTTCAGTTTTGACTCTAGTACCCCAAGTTAGCTCAGATAACACAGGTTAAGAGGTCCCCATTTCACATCCCAGCCACAAGTCCTTGGTGTTCCCAGCTCCCCCTGCCACTCTGCTTAAATGGCTAGATTTAAGGGCTACCTGCCACTCCCCTCTGGTTTGATTTACCAGGATGACGGGAAGAACCTAAACAACTATACTTACTATTACAGTTGTACTATAAAGGGGACAACTTGGGAATAGCCGAATGGTAGTGTTATAAGGCAGGGTCTAAGGTCTGTGTGGTGGTGAGTGGGGTAGGAACCTCTGTCGCTGTGGAGTCAGGTTGATAGACACTTCCAGTGCCTCGTGGTCTAGAGTTTTATCTAGGTTTCATTATGCAAGCATGATGGATTAAATAATTGCCAACGAGCTTGAACTCAATTTTCAGTCCCTTTCCCCTCCCTTAAGGGGTGGAGAGCCACATGTTCCAACTCACTGGTTCTATGATTGATTCTCCTGGCAGTCAGCCCCGATCCTGAAACCCCAGCCCTGCCTGACTCCATGAGTATAAACTCAGGTGTGGTCCTGAGGAGCTCATTATAAATAACAAAAATATTCCTATCACTACTATTGTCAAAGACCAAATATATACATATGTGTATATGAATATCTTTGTATGTTATTCTACAGATTATATTTAATTTTTTTTAATTTTTGTAATCTGTGTAGTTCACTAGTTTTAGACCAGTGTGACAGATCTTCAGTAGGTTTCAGATAACTGCAGGGTTCTATTTTTCTATTTAATCGTTGAAAAGACATACATTGCATTGTCTTTAAATGCCCTGTCAGTTACAGAGTCTGAGATAGGAGAGTGATGACTTGTGTCTCTTAACTGAAGTGGCTCTCAGAATCCGGCAGGGAAATACACATCCATAAATATTTACCCTTTCTCTTTTGCTTTCTTCCACCAAAGGAGCCAGTGTATCAACCAGATGAAAGAGGTGAAGGAGCAGTGTGAAGAGCGGATCGAAGAAGTCACCAAAAAAGGAAATGAAGTTATAGCCTCCAGAGACCTGAGTGACAAAAACAACCAAAGTCAGCAGGTAATTTGGGGAAATTTTCTGCCAAGGATGTCTAGACAGTGTTGCTGTCTCCTATTCAGGCATTTTGTTCCTTTTATGTGCTGATTTGCTCTTTCTCTACTCTCGCTTGTGGGTCTGGTTCCCTGTGGTACAAAGCCTCTGTCCTAGGATTCCCAGATTCTAGTGTGCTGGTCTCCAGCCCCAGTTCCCACGCTTGAAGCTCACAGCCACCCTGGGAGATGGTTGCTTTTGCTCACCAGTTGTGAGGACACTTCGGTGCCTGTGGAGATGTTAAGAACTTAGGCCAGGGTCCTGCTGGTTGGTGGTAGACCCATCAAGAGCCTAGGTGTCTCACCTCTGGCACTGTCACCTCCCTCCTGTACCACACACAGCCGAGGAATTTGCTGCTCAAGCATTCTGGAGATCTTTGCTTTTAAAAAATAAAGCAGCTTTAGTGAGATATAATTTATACATCATGTGCTTCACTCATAAGCTTTATAACTCAATGATTTTTGGTGTCACAAAGTTACATAACCATCAGTACAATCAATTTCAGAAGATTTTGTAGCAAAAGAAACCCTCATTAGTTTATCTTTGATAAACCAATAACAGACTAACACTGTTCTACTTTTTGTCTCTATAGATTTCCCTATCAGTGTGTTTCTTGACAGTGGAATCTCAAAATGTGTGACCTTGTGTGTGTGGCTTCTTTCACTGAACATAATACTTCTAGGATTACATGTGTGATATTGTAGTACTTTACTCCTTTTTATGGATGAATGATATTCCATTCACATTTTGGTTATTTATTGTCAGTTCATAGATAATTTGGGTTTGTACTTTTTTTGGCTGTTGTGAATAATGGTGTTATGAACATTTGTGTACAAGTTTTGGGGGTACATATTTTAATTTCTTTTGGTCAGTATCTAGTAGTGGAATTGCTAGATCATATGGTAATCTGTATTTACCTGTTGAGAAACTGCCAGACTATTTTCCACAGTGACCATACCATTTCCCATTTCTACCAACAGTTTATTAGAATTCCATCTCTTTACATCCTTGCCAACTCTTCTTACTGTCTTTTTAGGAAAGCCTTCCTAATAGGTGTGTATTAGTGTCTTGTGGTTTCTGTTTGCCTTTCCTTGATGACTAATGATGTTGGGTGTCTTCTCACATGCTTCATTGGTGATTTGTGCATCTTATTTGGAGAAATGTTCAGATCCTTTGACCATTAAAAAATTTTTAATTCATTTTATAAGATCTTTATATATAGATTATGTTAAATGTATAATTTGCAAATATTTTTTCCAATTCTATGGGGTTTTACACTTTACTGATGTTGTATTTGAAGTATAGAAGCTTTAAATTTTGATGGAGTCCATTTATCTGTTTTTCTTTTTTATTTTTTTCTCTGTGTCAATCGAGGAATGTTTTTCCTAACACAGGATCATGAAGATTACTCCTCTTTTCTTCTAAGAGTTTTATAGTTCTTAGCTCTTCCATTTAAACTTGTGTTCCATTTTGCATTAATTTTTATATATGTGTGGGGGTAAGGCTCCATCTTTCTGTTTTCCACGTGAATAACATTCTATGTTCTCAGTACCATTTGTTTGAAAAAAAGACTGTTAATTTTTACACTGAATCATATTATATCATTGTCAAAAATAACTTTTAACTATGAGGGCTTGATCGAGGTCAGTCTGGGCAACTTAGCAAGACCCTGTCTCCAAATTAAAAATTTTAAAAAGATTTGGGGATATAACTTTGTGGCAGACTACCATGGGCTCAATTATCAGTACCAAAAAGAGATACTGGAAAATCATTTGAATAACAAGACACTGGAAAAAGGAAAAGTAAGGATTAAAGGAGAAGTTAATGAAATAGAGAATAAAAAATAAGATGGAAAAGTCAATGAAATCGAAAATTCTTTAAAAAGATGAACATAATTGACAAACTCTTAGCTAGATTAGTAAAGAAACAAATAATCAAATTACTAAAATGAAAAATGACAGGAAATCACCACTGACCTTACACAGGACAGTATTAAAAGGGAGCAGTCTGGGCAAGTATATGCTGACAGGTCTGATAACGCAGATGAATGGATAGGTTCCTACACAGATACAAACCACCAAAAGTAACTTAAAAAAGAAACATAAAAGTCTGAGTAGACCTATACAAAGTAGAGATTGAATTAGTAATTTTAAAATTTCCCCTCCACCCAAAAAAATCTGTGCCTAGTATTACTAATGAATTCTACCAAACATTTGAAGGTCTCCAAATTTTCACAAACCCTCCTAAAAACCAGAACAGGAGGAAGTATTCCCCATTTCATTCTATGAGCCCAATGTTACCCTAGTACCAATAACAGATGAAGACATTGTAAAAGAAAATAAAACTACAGCTAGGCACTAGAACTTTTAATACTAGCAAATCAATTCAACATATTAATTACATAAAGAATTATATACCATGGGCTTATCCATGAGTACAAGGTTAGATTAACTTCCAAAATTAATTGCAACAACAACAAAAAAAGATCACAGGATCACTTCCATAGATTCAGAAAAAGAATCTGACAATCTAATAGCTCTTCATGATAAAAATGATTAAGAACAAAAGGAAACTTCCTCAGTTTGATATGGGAATCTACAAAAAACAATACCTAGCACCAAACTTAATAGTGAAAGACTGAATAATTTATCCCTGTAATCAAGAACAAAACAAGGAGGTCTGCTCTCACCACTTCTATTTCTATTGCATTAGAGGTTCTCTCCAGGACAGTTAAACAATAAAAAGAAACAAAAGGCATGCAGATTGGAAAGGAAAAAGTAAGGCTATCTCTATTTGTACCTGATGTAATCTTGTATACAGAAAAATCCTAAGGAATTACTAAAAAACCCAAATAAGAGCACAGGTGTGTTTCTAGATTCTTTTTTTTTTTTTTTGCGGGGGGCGGGGGGGGCGTGTTGATGCCCCATTGTACCAACATCATTTGTTGAAAAACACTGCCTTTGCTTCATTTTACTGTAGTTACTCCTTTGTTAAATTTGTGCTGGGCATGGTGGCACATGCTTATAATTCCAGCTGAGGTAGAAGGATCACAAATTCAAGTCCAGCCTTGACAACTTAGTGAGACCTTGTCTAAAATTGTTTAAAGTGGGCTGAGAATGTGTCTCAGTGGTTGATTGCCCCTTTGTTCAACCCCAGTACTGGGAAAACACACACACACACACACAACAGTTTGATGTTGGAGCTGTCTGTTCCATTGGTCTATTTGTCTTTCACCACAGTATATTGATTACTGTAGTTTTATAATAAGTCTTAAAGTCAGGTAATGTCAGTCTTCCTACTTTGTTCTCCTTCAGTTTTGTTACCTTTGTTACCTCTTTTGGGTCTTTTGGCCTCATATAAACTTGAGAATTTGTTTGACTATATCCACAAATAATTTGCTGGGATATTGATCAACAAGTTGAGAAAAACTGACATTTTCCCAATATTGAGTTTTCTTGTCTCTGAAGATAGAGTATCTATCCATTTATTTAATTTTTGATTAATTTAATGAGAATTTTATGACTTTCCTCATGTAGATTTTGTGCAAGTTTTGATATAGGCTTATACTTAATCGTCCATTTTGGGATGCTAATGTAAATGGTATTATATTGTTAACTTCAAATTCCACTTGTTCAGTGTTGGTATATAGGGAAGTGATTGGCTTTTGCATAATCACGTTATATCCTGCAACTTTGATATAATCACTTATTATTCCTGGAGGGGTTCCTTTTTTTGGATGATTCTTTCAGATTTTCTACATAGATAATCATGTCATCTGCAAATAAGGTAGCTTTATTTATTATTATTTTTTTCACAATACCTTTACTCTATTTATTCATTTGTATGTGGTACTGAGAATCCAACCCAGGGCCTCACACGTGCTAGGCAAGCACTCTACAGCTGAGCTATAGCCCCAGCCCAAAGGTAGCTTTATTTATTCCTTCTCAATTTGTATATATTTTTTCCCTTTTCTATCTTTTTTCATTTCTGGGACTTGTAGCATAATGCTTAAAGGAATGGTGAGAAGGAGCATCCTTGCCTTGCACCTAATATTAAGTAGAAAAAAGTTTCAAATTTCTCATCATTAACTATGATATCAGCAGATTTTTTGATAGATGTTCTCACTTGAGTTGAAGACGTTCTTGTCTGCATCTGTTGATATGACCATGTTGGCCTTTTGATGTGATAGATTACATAATTGGTTTTCAGATGTTGAATAAGTCTTGAATACCTGAGATAAATCCTATTTGGTCATGGAATTTTAATCTTTTTATGCATCATGGATTTAATTCACTAATATTTTGTTGACAAGTTTTGCATCTGTGTTCATAAGAGATGTTGGTCTGTGGTTTTGTAATGTCCTTATCTGGCTTCAAGTAATGAGTCAGAAAACATTCTCTTGTGTTTTGTGCTCTGAAAGAGATTGTAGAGAACTGGTGTAATTTCTTCCTTAAATGTTTGATAGAATTCACCAGTGAACTCATCTGAGTGCTGTGCTGATTTATAAGGTTGTTAATTATTGATTCAGTTTCTTTAACAGAGGCTGTATTCAGATTGTTATGTTTTGGCAGATTATCATTTCAGAGAATTGCTTCATTTCATCTAGGTTATCAAATTGAGCATTTTATGATTCCATTTTCTCTCCTTTCTTGTCATACCAGTTATACTTTTTTTTTTTTTAAATGGCTACCTTAGATTTTGCAGTATACTTTTATAAACAGTCTGTGCCTACTTTCAAATAACATTAGGCCAAAGGTTGCTTGAAGGCCTTGTAATAACAAAATAATTTTTATTCCTACTTCACATCCCTTGTATCATTGCTGTCATTGATTTTGCTTATAGACATACCTAAGCAGACAGATGTACATGTTATATCCATAAGCATACATAATTGTATATGTCATTGATACTACTTTGACCAAACTATTCTCCATTAGATCAATTAGAATAAGGAAGATAAACATTTTTTA